CGAGTAGATAGGCGTAGATGCGCAAGTTGCGCGTAGATGCACAAAGATGGGGTATATGAATATAGATGCGCGTAGATGCGCGTAGATGCACGTAGATGCGTCTAGATGTGCTTAGATGCGCCTAGATGCGCGTAGATGAGAGTAGATGCACGGAGATGCGCGTAGATACGAGTAGATAGGCGTAGATGCGCAAGTTGCGCGTAGATGCACAAAGATGGGGTATATGAATATAGATGCGCGTAGATGCGCGTAGATGCACGTAGATGCGTCTAGATGTGCTTAGATGCGCCTAGATGCGCGTAGATGAGAGTAGATGCACGGAGATGCGCGTAGATACGAGTAGATAGGCGTAGATGCGCAAGTTGCGCGTAGATGCACAAAGATGGGGTATATGAATATAGATGCGCGTAGATGCGCGTAGATGCACGTAGATGCGTCTAGATGTGCTTAGATGCGCCTAGATGCGCGTAGATGAGAGTAGATGCACGGAGATGCGCGTAGATACGAGTAGATAGGCGTAGATGCGCAAGTTGCGCGTAGATGCACAAAGATGGGGTATATGAATATAGATGCGCGTAGATGCGCGTAGATGCACGTAGATGCGTCTAGATGTGCTTAGATGCGCCTAGATGCGCGTAGATGAGAGTAGATGCACGGAGATGCGCGTAGATACGAGTAGATAGGCGTAGATGCGCAAGTTGCGCGTAGATGCACAAAGATGGGGTATATGAATATAGATGCGCGTAGATGCGCGTAGATGCACGTAGATGCGTCTAGATGTGCTTAGATGCGCCTAGATGCGCGTAGATGAGAGTAGATGCACGGAGATGCGCGTAGAGGCGCGTTAATTCAAGTAGGTGCGCGTAGATTCACATAGATGCGCAAAAATGGGGTATATGAATGTAGATGCGCGTAGACGCACGTAGATGCACGTAGATGCGAGTAGATGCACGGAGATGCGCGTAGAGGCGCGTTAATTTGCGTAGATGTGCGTAGATTCACATATATGCACTTAGATGCGCGTAGATGAGAGTAGATGCACGGAGATACGCGTAGAGGCGCGTAAATAAGCGTTGATGGTTAAAGATGCATTTAGACGCGCGTAGATGCGCTTAGATGCGCGTAGATGTACGTAGATGCGCATAGATGAGCGTTGATGCACGTAGATGAGCAAGTTGCGCGTAGATGCGCAAAGATGGGGGTATATGAATGTAGATGCGCGTAGATGCGCGTAGATGCGCGTAGATGCGAGTAGATGCACGGAAATGCGAAAAGAGGCGAGTAGATGTGCAAGTTGCGCGTAGATGCGAAAAGATGGTTAATAAGTAGATGCGCGTAGATGCGCGTAAATATGGGTATATGCGCCTAAATTCGAGTTGATTCGCTTAATACGCGTAGATGCACATAGATGCACGAAGATGCGCGTAGATGCACATAAATGCGCTAAAAAGCGCGTAAATACGCAAAGATATGACTATATGAATATAGATGCACGTAGATGCGCGTAGATGCGGGTAGATGCGAGTAGATGAGCGTAGATGCGCGTAGATGCGTGTAGATTGAAGTAGATACGCTTGGATGCGCGTAGATGCGCAAGTTGCGCGTAAATGCGCAAAGATATGAATGTGGATGCACATAGATTAACGTAGATGTGCGTAGATGCGCTTAGATGCACATACATGCACTTAGATGCGCTTAGATGCACTTAGATGCGCTTAGATGCACGTAGATGCAAATAGATGCACGGAAATGCGCGTAGAGGCGCGTAAATTTGCGTAGATGCGTGCAGATGCGCGTGGATGCGTGTACATGCGTTTTGATGCGCGAAGATGCGCGTAGATCCACGTTGATGCGCAAAGATGCGCGTAGATGCGCCAAGATGCGCAAGTTGCTTGTAGATGCGCGTAGATTAGCGTAGATGCAACGAGATGTGAGTAGAGGCGCGTAGATGCGAAAGTTGCGCGTAGATTGCCAAAGATGGTTAAAAATTAGTTGCGCGTAGATGCGCGTAGATATGGGTAAATGCCCCTAAATTCGTGTAGATGCGCGTAGATGCGCAAACATGCGCACAGATGCACATAGATGCGCTTAGATGCGCGTAGATGCGCGGAGATGCGAGTAGATTCAAGGAGATGCGCGTAGAATCGCGTAAATGCATGTTGATGCGCAAAGATGCATGTAGATGTGAGTTCATACGCTTAGATGCGTAGATGTACGTAGATGCATGTAGATGAACGTAGATGCAAGATGTTTGCGCGTAGATGCGCGTAGATGCGCGTAGATGCGCGTAGAAGCGCAAGTTGCGCGTAGATGCACAAATATGGGGTATATGAAAATAGATGCGCGTAGATGCGCGTAGATGCGCGTAGATGCACGTAGATGAGAGTAGATGCACGGAGCTGCGCGTAGAGGCGTTAATTCGCGTAGGTGCGCGTAGATTCACATGGATGCGCAAAAAAAGGTATATGAATGTAGATGCCCGTAGACGCGCGTTGATGCACGTAGATGCGAGTAGATGCACGGAGATGCGCGTAGAGGCGTGTTAATTCGCGTAGATGCGCGTAATGCTCGTAGATTCGCGAAGATGCGCGTAAATGATTGTAGATGCAAGTAGATCCACGGATATGCGCGTAAAGGCGCGTAAATGCATGTTGATGCACGAAGATACATGTAGTAGCGCGTAGATACGCTTAGATGCGCGTAAATGCGCTAAGATGCTTAATAAGTAGATGCGCGTAGATGTGCGTAGATGCGCGTAGATGCGTGTAGATTTACGTAGATTCGCTTAGATGCGCGTAGATGCGCGTAGATGCTTGTAAATGCGAGTTGATGCTCGTAGATGTACGTAGATGTATGTAGATGAACGTAGATGCGCGTAGATGCGCGTAGATGCATGTAGATGCGAGTTGATGCTCGGAGATATGGGGAGATGCGCCTAAATTTGGGTAGATTCGCGTAGATGCATGGAGATGCGCGTAGATGTATGTAGATGAACGTAGATGCGCGTAGATGCGCGTAGATGCATGTAGATGCGAGTTGATGCTCGGAGATATGGGGAGATGCGCCTAAACTTGCGTAGATTCGCGTAGATGCACGGAGATGCGCGTAGAGGCGCGTAAATGCATGTTGATGCGCGAAGATGCATGTAGATGCGAGTAGATCCGCATAGATGCGCGTAGATGTACGTAGAAACATTCAGATGAACGTAGATGCGTGTAGATGCACGGAGATACGCATAGAGGCGCGTAATTTCGCGTAGATGCGCGTAGATTTTCCAGCATCTGCAACAAACGTTCGGTCTCACTGATACCGTCCTGTGTTGGTTCCGATCATATCTGACTAATCGGGTCCAGTCAGTTATTTCAAACTGCTTGACCTCGAAGAAATCTAATATTGAATTCGGAGTACCTCAGGGCTTGGTCCTAGGCCCGATGCTTTTCACGATGTACATTCAGCCCCTTGGTTCAGAGATCAGGCAGTTTGACATGTTGTATCACATGTTTGCTGCTCAGGATTAGTCAAATCAGGCCATACCTAACAATTGATACAACAAAGAGGCTGATGTCTGCATTTGTGCTATCACGCATGGACTATTGCAATGCTATCATGGTGGGTCTTCCAGCTACGCTCATGAATAAAATTCAAATAGCACAGAATAATGCGGCTCGCATCGTTCTCCGCAAACGCAAATTCGACCATGCAAAAACACTTCTGAGAGAGTTGTATTGGCTGCCGGTGCGTGCTCGTATAGAGTAAAAGATCGCAACTTTGTGCTACCGCTGCTTACATGACCTGGCGCCGTCCTATCTGAAAGAGATGCTGACGCCATATGTACCCACTAGACAACTCCGCTGATCCGATAGTGTCAAACTCTCGATACCACGTGTTTGCCTTGAGACTTACGGAAGGCACACTTTCGCATTTGCTGGTCCAACAATTTGGAACGCCCTTCCTGTCGATCTTAGAAACAACCAGACATTGGAGTCCTTTAAAACCGATCTAAAGACACATCTATTTCGTAAATACCTTCTGGGATGATTGTCTACCTTATTTTCCAGTTAATGCATAATGGCTGTGTTGCTCCGGGTTGAAATGGCTAGAAAGACTTTGAGATTGTATGCTTGTAATTAGTTTTTGTAGTGTTGCGTTTGNTATGCTTGTAATTAGTTTTTGTAGTTTTGCGTTTGTTTTAAATGTGGTAAATTATAGATATGTTTTTTGTTGACTTTGTACGGCGCTTCGAGCCTTTGGGGATGAAGCGTGTCTTTGAAATGAACTTTATTATTATTATTATTAGATTTACATAGATACGCTTAGATGCGCGTAGATGCGCGTAGATAAGAGTAGATGCACGGAGATGCACGTAGAGGCGCGCAAATAAGAGTTGATGCGCCAAGATGCATGTAGATGCGAGTAGACACGCATAAAGGCTCGTATATGTACGTAGATGCATGTAGATCAACGTAGATGCACGTAGATGCGCGTAGATGCGAGTAGATGCATGGAGATGCGCGTAGAAGCACGCAAATAAGCGTTGATGCGCCAAGATGCATGTAGATGATCGTAGATGAAAGAAGATGCGCGTAGATGCGTGTAGATGCGCATAGATGTGCATAGATGCGCGTCGATGCGCGTAGATGCGAGTAGTTATGCGTAAATGCGCGTAAATGAACTAAGATGCGCGTAGATGTACTTAGATGCTTGTAGATGAACGTAGATGCGCGTAGATGCGCGTAGATTCGTTTAGATGCGCGTAGATGCGCAAAGGTTAAAAAGTAGATGCGCGTTGATGCGCGTTGATGCGCGTAGATATGGGTAGATGCGCCTAAATTCGCGTAGATGCGTGAAGATGCGGGTAGATGCACATAGATGAATTTAGATGCACGTAGATGCGCGTAAATGATTGTAGATGCAAGTAGGTCCACGGATATGCGCATAAAGGCGCGTAAATGCATGTTGATGCGCGAAGATGCATGTAGTAGCGCGTAGATACGCTTAGATGCGCGTAGATGTACGTAGATGCATGTAGATGAACATAGATGCGCGTAGATGCGCTTAGATGTGCGTAGATGTACGTAGATGCACGGAGATGAAAGTTGATGCGCGCATATGTGCGTAGATGTGCGTAGATGCACGTAGATGCGAGTAGATGCACGGAGATGCGCGTTGAGGCACGTAAATTCGCGTAAATGTTGTAGATGCGCGAAGATGCGCGTAGATGCACCTAGATGCACATAGATACGCTTAGATGCACGTAGATGTGCGTAGATGCGCGTAGATGCATGTAAATGCGCGTAAATGACAAAGATGCGCGTAGATGTGTGTAGATGCGCGTAGATGAAGGTAGATGCGAGTAGATGCACGGAGATGCACGTAGATGTACGTAGATGCGCTTAGATGAACGTAGATGCGCATAGATATGCTTAGATGCGCGTAGATGTACGTAGATGCGCGTAGTTGAACGTAGATGCGCGTAGAATCGCATAGATGCGNGCATGTAGATGCCCGTAGATGCACATAGATGCACTTAGATGCGCGTAGATGCGCGTAGATGCGAGTGCATGCAGGGAGATGCGCGTAGAGGTGCGTAAATGCACGTAGATGCGCTTAGATGCAAGTAGATGATGGTAGATGCGTATAGATGAAAGTATATGAATGTAGATGAGCGTAGATGCGCGTAGGTGTACGTAGATGCGCGAAGATGAACGTTAATGCACGTAGATGCGCTTAGATGCACGTAGATGTACGTAGATGCGCTTAGATGAACGTAGATGCGCATAGATATGCTTAGATGCGCGTAGATGTACGTAGATGCGCGTAGTTGAACGTAGATGCGCGTAGAATCGCATAGATGCGCGTAAATGCGTAAAGATTGTAGATGCGCGTACATGCGGGTAGATGCGCCAAGTTGCACAAAGATAGGGGTATATGAATGTAGATGTGCGTAGATGCGCGAAGATGCGCGTAGATGCGCGTTTATTCGTGTAGATGCGCGTAGATGCACGGAGATGCGCGTAGAGGCACGTAAATGAGCGTTGATGCGCGAAGATGCATGTAGATGCGCGTAGATGCGCTTACATTCGCGTAGATGTACGTAGATGAAGGTTGATGCGTAGATGCGTGTAGATGCGCATAGATAGGGGTATATGATTATAGATGCATGTAAATGTGCGTAGATGCGCGTAGATGCTCGTAGACGCGCGTAGATGTCAGTAGATGCGCAAATTGCGTGTAGATGGGCCAAATGGGGTATATGAATTTAGATGCACGGGGATGCGTGAAGAGGCGCGTAGATGCGTAAGTTGCGCGTAGATGCGCAAAGATGGTTAATAAGTACATGCGCGTAAATGCGCGTAGAAATGCGTTCATAAGCCTAAATTTGCGTAGATGCGCGTAGAATCGCAAAGATGCGCGTAGATGCAAATAGATGCGCTTACATGCGCGTAGATACGCGTAGATTTGAGTAGATGCGCGTAGAGGTGCGTAAATGCAAGTTGATGATTTGTTCTATTTGGGAGAATGTGGTTGATTTATTTGATTTGGGAAAAAGTGGTTGATTTGTTCGATTTGAGAGAAAAAGGTTGATTTGTTCGATTTGGGAAAAAGTGATTGATTTGTTCGATTTTGGAGAAAGTGGTTATTATATTCGATTTGGGAGAAAGTGGTTGATTTGTTCGATTTGGGAGAAAAAGGTTGATTTGTTCGATTTGAGAGGAAATGGTTCATTTGTTCGATTTGGTAAAAAGTAGTTGATTTGTTCGATTTGGGAGAAAGTAGTTGATTTGTTCAATTTAGGAGAAAGTGGTTGATTTGTTCAATTTAGGAAAAAGTGGTTGATTTGTTCGATTTGGGAAAAAATGATGATTTGTTCGATTTGGCAGAAATTGGTTAATTTGTTCGATTTGGGAGAAAGTGGTTGATTTGTTCGATTTGGGAGAAATTAATTGATTTGTTCGATTTGGGAGAAAGTAGTTGATTTGTTCGATTTGGGAGAAAGTTGTTTATATGTTCGATTTGAGTGAAAGGTATTTATTTGTTTGATTTAGGAAAAAGTAGTTGATTTTCGGTTTTGGGAGAAAGTGGTTGATTTGTGTTGATTGCGGAGTGTGTGGTTAATTTGTTCGATTGTGGAGAAAGTGGTTGATTTGTACGATTTGGGAGAAAGTGGTTAATATGTCCGATTTGGGAGAAAGTTGTTGTTTGTGCGGTTTGGGAGAAAGTTGTTGATTTTTTCGAATTGGAAAAAAGTGGTTGTTTTGTTCAATTTTTGAGAAAGCGGTTGATTTGTTCTATTTGGGAATAAGTGGTTGATTTGATCGATTTGGGACAAAGTTGCAGATTTATTCGATTTTATAAAAAGGGGTTTATTGGTTCGATTTGGGAGAAAGTGGTTGATTTGTTCGATTTGGGAAAAAAAGATTGATTTGTTCGATTCTGGAGAAAGTGGTTGATTTGTTCGATTTGGGAGAAAGTTGTTAATTTTTTCGGTTTTGGAGAAAGTGGTTAATATGTTCGATTTTGAAGAAAGTTGTTGATTTGTTCGATTTGGGAGAAAGTGGATGATTTGTTCTATTTGGGAGAAAAATGCTGATTTATTTGATTTGGGAGAAAGTTGTTGATTTGTTCGATTTGGGAGAAAAAGGTTGATTTGTTCGATTTGAGAAGAAATTGTTTATTTGTTCGATTTGGTAAAAAGTAGTTGATTTGTTCGATATGGGAGAAAGTTTTTGATTTGTTCAATTTGGAAGAAAGTGGTTGATTTGTTCGATTTTTGAAAAAGTGGTTGATTTGTTCGATTTGCAAGAAAGTTGTTAATTTGTTCGATTGTGGAAAAAGTGGTTGATTTGTTTGATTTGGGAAAAAGTGATGATTCGTTCGATTTGGCAGAAATTGGTTAATATGTTCGATTTGGGAGAAAGTCGTTGATTTGCTCGATTTGGAAGAAGTTGTTGATTTGTTCGATTTGGGAGAAAATTGTTGATTTGTTCGATTCGCCCATTTTTGCCCAAATCGAACAAATCAACCTTTTTCTCCAAAATCAAACAAATCAACCAATTTCTCCCAAATCGAACAAATGAACCACTTTCTCCCTAATCAAATATATTAACCACTTTCTCCCAAATCTAACAAATCAACCACTTTCTCCAGAATCGAAAAAATTAACCACTTTCTGCCAAATCGAACAAATAAACCACTTTCTCCCAAATCGAACATATTACCCACTTTCTACCAAATATAACATATTAACCATTTTCGCCCAAATCGAACAAATCAACCTCTTTCTCCAAAATTGAACAAATTAACAACTTTCTCCCAAATAGAACAAATCATCAACTTTGGCCAAATCGAACAAATCAACCACTTTCTCCACAAATCAAACAAATTAAACACTTTCTCCCAAATCGAACAAATAAACCACTTTCTCCCTAATTGAACAAATCAACCACTT